GATGATGCCTGTAAACTGGCGTCTCTCATGTACAAAATGAGAATATACTATTATTATTATTATTAAATTAACTGATCATCTTGGCTATAAACATTTTTAAGAACATCTCATAATTTCCCGTATGATTACAGCTGTTACTGTTCACCACGCATGCACATATCGTAGCTTCCACTAACCAATACTGAAATATTTTTTCATTATTTGTGTTTATCTTCCATTTTACTTGGTATTTTTATTTGCATTTTTTTGTTATTTCTGTGTTTCTTTTTTTGGTTTTTTGTTGTTGTTCTTTTTATATATTTTATTTTTTTATAATACTCCTTTTAAATGTACGATGAAATTAGATGCAATATTGTAGATATGTGCTGAAAATTCCACACTGTACCACAAGTACTGTTTCTGGAATAAAGCGAAATTGTTATTGTTATTATTCCTTTAACGTAGCCTTTCGTAATTTCCGCGCGAAGTTGACTGACTATAATTACATTAACGATTAAAATTTAGACTTAAACCGACATCTTATAACTTATTCCATTAGGAGCAAATATTACAAATTTCTTATAAAGTTTCTAGAGTTTTTTTATTTTTTCAATTTTTATGCCATAAAACAATGTTCAATCTAAAATTGCACTTGTCAGATATGATCATGCCTGTACAAACGATATGTCAATCACGGAAATGCTTAGTTTGTGTGGATAAAATATCGTATTATTATTAGTCTCCATGCGACTGTAGTGAGCCACTGCTTGTCTTGTCTCTTCTGCTTAGAACTTCCATGCAGGTTTGACTCCACACCGCCTTCAGGTTGTTGCAGTGTTTTTCAACACTGGTCTCTTTGTTAGCGTTGATTTGTGTCCCCACCTTTTTCCTTACGTTTGCAGCGAAGATGTCCTTTGTGGCCTGATCCTCCAGTTTTTGAGTATTGAACTTGGCTTGTGGTCTATCTGCAGCTTCTGTTTCCTTGAAAGTTTGAATTTGATTTGGAGTGTTCCTTGTACAAGACAGTGGTCTGAGCCAACGTCTGCTCCTCTTCTTACTTTTGTATCCAGTAAGCTGCGTCTCCAATTCCTTGGAATTATGATGAAGCCAGTTTGACTTTTGGTTCGCCCGTCCATGCAGCCTTGTAGATATCCTTGCGCTTGTATACACTGCCACCAATCACTAGGTCATTAAAGACAAAGAAATCAGCGAAGAATTCTCCGTTTTCATTCATCTCTCCGAGTTCACCTCTACCCATAATGAGTTCTCTTCCTGTGTTGTCTGGTCCCAGTTTGGCGTCCACATCGCCCATTAGAATTTTAATGGCACCGACCGGCGTATTGTCAATTGTTGCCTGTAGTTGTCTGTAGAATTCTTCTTCCTTTCTAGATCTGCGTTGCTCGTGGGTGCATAGCATTGTATAATTGCCACTTTCCTTTCTTTTGAGTTGAATCCGGCGGTCATCATCCTGGGCGAGATCGCCTCCCCTCATATCAGGGCCTTCGTTACCATTGGTGACATGATAGCCACACCCTCGGTGTGCATGTGGTTGTCTTCTGGGTGACCGGAGTAGACCACTGACTCTCCCGCTGACATTTTGGTGAGTCCACTCTCATTCCATTTGCTTCCACATGTTCCCAGTAATTGAATACCACATCTCATCTCATGTGCAGTCTGGGCAGCTTTGCCAGTCTCATACATAGCGCAGACGTTCCATGTCTCCACGAAGACGTTTTCTTTTGTCGCAAGGAGACTCGTGGTACTGAAGTTTCCATAGCAGTTTTGTTTGCAGGGTAGGGTTGCTAGCCTCAGACCCGAGGAGGAAGTTATTAAATAGATATTTAAGGTACAGGAGGGAGACTTTTTGGGTTGCTCCCTTTAGAATCAGGAAGAAAAGAAATAAAGCAATCAGAATGACAACAAAACATCATGACAAGAAAAGCAGCATCAACAAGAACAAACACTGTAGCAGTAGTAACACTGTTAAATTCAGTTAACGAAAATTTATACCAGAACCTGACCGGTTTCAACATAGAACTTCACATATATGTGCGGCACTACGAGTTTCTGCACTCCATGGAGAAAGAGAAGAGGGTAAGGAGAGATTCACAGCAGAAAGGGAGATAATAAACAGAAGTGTGAGTGAGGGGAAATGAATAATACGATGGTGAATATAAATTGTGCAATTGGTCATAATGTGTGGGGATATAGGCCGACACCAGGTGTTATCGCTCAATGCCATCGGTTACCGCGCTCACGTCAACAGACGTTATAATCACCTATTTTTTTGGAAATAGATTATATTTGACTAGTTTTAGACTTCTGTAGCCGGATGGCAGTATTTTGCTGTATTTTGTTCTTAGTAGAGCGTAAAATTGTATATTATAGCCCGGACGAATTATCAATGAAGAAGTCATCCTTTTTAAGAAAGTTCGCATAGAAAGACTATTATTTGCATTATAGTGCGTTGAGGGTTTGTTTTTTTTGCGAGTTGTTTCAGATCTTAAGGTTGTAAATATACTGCAGTCAATGGCTGTTGTCATTCCAGTGAATCTATTAGAATCTGGCCTATGAAAGAGAAATAGCATGCAGGCATAGGTTAGATGTGTGTTTTGAAGATGTTAAACACTTCTGTTATCATCCGTGATGACTCAAATATTCCATAACACATCGACGACATCGTGCGATGAATGAGACAGGCTGCTGAATTTCCTGGTGATTATATCTATTTTGATGAAGTTCCTAGTTAAAAGTGCTTGGGCAAAGATGTGATAATAGTTTAATTGACATTTACACATGAAATTTCACAAGGCCTTCATTGCTCAGTGCATGAAATGGCATCAGAGTATATTGACATCAGTGTTCATTGTGTCTGGAAGAATAGTATAAATAGTCCTTCTCAAATGTCAGAGTACTTAAAATTAGTGCCGGATTTCTGTCGATTAGTAGCTAGCGGCTGTGTCGTACAACTACTACACCTGTTACATAGGTTATATCAATCTTAAAAATTATTTTGCTTCACATCAATAAGATAATCTGAGATCCTTAATGACTTAATTGTGGCTATGAAATATGTAGAAGATGCACTTATGGCTGATATATTTAAAGCAGTTATTACTAAACAAGTTATCTGTAAGCAACTTGTGATGTTCTGAATACTGCAAACTGTTGATAAGAAACTGCATCAAAGGAAAAAATGCTGAACAGCTAGAAAATACTACTGCAGTTTCGTTGGTTGTTACCTTTTGCATTTGTAAGTCATCCTTTCAAAGCTGCGATTGACGCCAAACCATCCATGGCACCCCACAGGCTCTATAGAAATTTGTGAGAGATCTTACATGTCAGGCTGTCTTCCAAATTGTAAGGTTGCAGATAGTTCAATTTACCTCTCACTGAAATATCACTTATCTACTTCACTATGGTCTTTTCATTTGTGCACTATTACACTTCATTTTATGTTAACTGGATATGCCTTTATTAAAGCTGAGACTTACTCTTTGTACCTATTAGTTGCTTGCTTACAGTCTATTTGCTTTTATTAGAAACACAACAACACCAGTGTTGGAACAAAGCTGTATTTTCATGGAAAACGTCATATTTTCTATGTTTACACCAATATGATTGGCATTAAACATTGCAAATGTATACTCACATTCCAAGGACATAGTACTTAACTAAATGTACGGTGTTCATTGTTAAGGGTTCACAATTTAACTCTTATAATTTATGATACTTCACGATTGCAGTTTATAACATAACTTATTGCGCCTGTAGAAATGACATGCATTCTTTGTAAACATTGGTTTATACGAAATTTGAAATTATTACTATATGCTTCCTGCTATCCTTTAGAAGAGGAATAATGTGTGTGGCAGTGAAAACCCCAGAAGAATGATGTCATTACCAAAGAATGAGAAAGGAGAATGAACCATTTTCAGCAAAGGTAGGCAGATATAAATCGTTTACCTTTAATATTACTTCTTCCTTACTTCAGCTATTTAAAAAACACTTTGTTTACTTATTTGTAGATATCTGGTAACGTCAGTCACCCCAGTCACAGAGATTCGACATTGCACAAATTATTCCGACAATCGACTGCGTAAAGACATTTGCTTGTTACTATTTTTTCATTAAATACATTTAATATCCTGCTTACCAGACCTTTCTTATTATATCTGAGTGTAGATATATTTGTCATGATGACTAGGTGCAGACATGACTTATTAATAAGAACTGACGAAGTAATTGGTGGCATATTTTAGTGTAAGCTAAATCTAAATACGATTGTTAAAGCTCAACGAATTCAATAATTCGTCTGGTGTAGACTTTAATTTACGCTACATGTCAACAGCCTTAGTCATATGGATTGACATCACGCTTTAAGTGAAACATTAGTAATGCAATACTTTCGAATACACGTAACCGTATAAGAACTGGAACTCGAATGCAGTGCCTAAGTTATGCCTACTATTGTCCCTAAAGACTTGCATATGACTATGATACGTATGCACGTTAGCTAACTAAAATACTTATAATTTAACACGTATGCTGACCAACATCGTTCCTACACAATTACACTTACGTATTGTTAGTAGTGAAAGTCCTAGAGAGCACCGGTCTAGCATGCCGTGCTCACAAAGTGAACACATTAATTGAAAGACAACAAAATTTACATGAAAATTTTATTTTCATTATGATACAAATTAAGTTTATTTACATATTAAGAACACGATTGATTCCTGCGATTACTCCGTCTGCATAAGTATTGGCAAACACTTCTCCAAATTTGTCATTAATTCTGTTCATACCCGCAATGATAATCCTCTTTTTGGTATCGTATATGTCACTTCGATTTCGAGGGATAACTGCTGACGTACTTTGAGATGCGAACAAGTTGCAAAATGAAAACAATAGAGGTATTACTCTGATCTCCTTTTACACTGCACTAGACGGCATAAATAATTCTTCACAATGGGATTTCTTGTCTACGAATAAAATGTAAAGTATGCTTTGAAAAACTTACTTTACGACAGAATGCTCGGCAAACAATGAAAGAACACAAAACAATGTGCGTTTCTCTGTGCGTTAACTTGACGGCTGCTATTTCAGCTTGCGCACAATCCATAATGAAAGTTTCTGTTTTGGAGGTATCTTCCATTATTCGACGAAAACAGTCTAATATCCAAACTACATCCCGTTTGAATTCTTTTCTAGTCCACGCAAATAAAACTGGTCGTCCGCGACCAAAATTATCCGTCACAAGTAATTGGAACGAAGAATACCTGCACGTGGATTAATGAATTGGTAAACTTACTTCCCTTTATTTGTATTATACGTCGAATCGATACCAACAACTTCAGGGAACTGTTTATACAATTCCATTTGCTCATAAGTTGCAAAACAAATTCTTGTTGGTGAATTCCTGAACGGTTCATCGGAATAATACTCCATTAACTTCCCACGGGATTTTAGGAATTCAAAATGTCACGACGACTCGAAATACCTAAAATATTTAACAATTATGTCAACGTTACCTTTATTCACTGCGGCTTTCATATTTTTAACGTCGATGAGAGTTATATCCTTCTGGTACTTCTCCTTAACATGCATTATTATTTCATCGGATGAGTAGGATTGCTGAAGAAGTGGTTCCACATTTACTTTCTCTTCAACTGTTACTCGTCTATACCATGGGTCATTCTGCATGTACACCCTGCTGCATGGATGGTTATGTACCATATTGTGGGAAGCAATTATGTATTCACTATAACGCAAAACCACGCGAAATGAAGACGAGCAATTGCAACATTTAGACCTGAAATATTCATGAAATCATATTACACTTCTTCTTACGACTTATTTCTCGATTTCAACCCAGGTCTTGTACGATTCACTCCAAAAGTGCATTTAAAACCAACATAAGCGTACTTAAATCCGTCATCCGGTATCGTTTTGCTACAATTATGAACATAGTGAGTGCAGGACAACTACATTGTTAGCATTAAATGACCTCCTCACTTTTTGAAATTCTGCTAATGACTTCTCAAATTCATCCCAGCTCAAGAAACGCCTTCCAAGTATGTATTCAGCAAAAATTCCACTTAAATCTGTGCTCCTGTCACTCAAATTGACTACCTGCAACGGACTAAAATAAAATTATCAATTAGGATCCATCTATCTCACAACTATTCCAAGATAAATCGTCAAAAAACAACATTGAAATACAGGGATGATCGATAACCATCAAGAAAATACCGCACGTATAACCTAAATTACAGAAAAACACAAGAACCCACCGGTTCGTTGACATCGCAAGCAACCAATAGACCAAACAACGAATTGTACGACAAATAAAGCCTAGTACATGCACAAACAAAGAAAAACAAAGCGTTACAATAGTCTAATACACGTTTACAGTAATCACATATGCTGGCAAACGACCCAAACACAACCACGCAAATACAGCACCCGACAGCACGCACCCAAGGACAATTCAAACTCCAATTGACCGCCACCATTCTAGCCAATGAAAGACGAAAAAAAATTAGTCGCGGAAAATATAACACGAAACCACGTATATACTCACCCGTCATAATAGTAGTAATGATAATATTAATCATAGTAATAATGATAATGATGGTTCTATCAGTAATAAGGATGAAAAAGTGAGGCAATCTGTGATTACACGAATAATGAAAAACAGTATGATTAAACAAACAAATGTTCAGGTGGAAGTAGTCGATAAAGGCTGATAAAAACAAATGAACCGATTACGTAAGGCTAGATTGTAAGGGAAGGAAATCAAAAACACGTTTATAATGAAGATAAGATTAAGGGATGATAAGAAAGGGGTTGAAAAGATAAACAAGGGGTTCTTATGAGCAGCTGCGATCAGTGAAGTCCTGTGGCATCGTGACAGAGCAGGTTATTCACGAATGAACATACATATATGGGACAAAGATAAACTCAGCAATAATACTTTATACATGAACATTTACGGGGAGCGAGTCACCTATCGCAGTTATTCTTTGTTGATATTCAAAGAAGTATAGTACTAACAGATTAACTCATGCTTGTCTTGAAAATGTTGACAATATACCAGCCAGCCACAGACCATGAAGTTGAAGTAATGTAATATGTAGGAGGTTAGATACTTAGGACAGTTGATCTCACTGTCAGTAGTTTGAACACAATTTATGGAGTTGTTTTTGCCCCTATCTCCCAATAGTTGGGTGTTGTAAGCTGAAAAAGTGGTTTGTAAAATGAGCGCACAGATGTTGAGGTTTCCTTGTTTCAGTGTTACCATAATCACTGAGAGGTCGTATGCTTAAGAAAGGCTGTTGTGCCTTTAACAACGGGCGCTGCTTTACTAGCACTATTGTGCAATAGTAGAGGTGCATATATGAAGTATGGGTGTATATGAAGTCTGTTTTACTGCACTGGAAAGAATATATGAATCGAGTTGTATTCAACAGGCATTCCAATAACTTATTATAAGAGGTCATGGCAAATTTTTAAAGCATAACAGTGATTAATAGGGCCCTAAGTGAGCTTTATGCAAAACCGAAACAGTATATAGGGCGAAATACATGACAAGTTACTTAGCGAGCTGCATCGTTCTTTATACAAAAGTTGTAGATGTAAAGCTTTTTTTATGTTTGAAAAGTCCGAGGATCAGGAATCTATCTAGACCTCATAACCAAGAGGCGAGCCCAAAGAAACCAAATTTGTTTATACTAGCTCGTACAAATTGGATATTGGATGTTGGAAATCTTGCGCTACAGGACTTATGTTTCTGCGTGAGTCAACTTTCCAAGTTCTTTTGGAAATTAGCCGCGTTCCTCGCAATATCCACATATCCATACTTAACAAGGAGGCAAAGTTAAACTTTCGACACCACTAACAACCAATCAGCAAACGACCTCGAACGGACCAATCACATTAAAGAGGCATATATGATGAATAAAAATGTATATTTATAGAAAAAAGCATAAAATAGATAATAAAAAAGGTTACATGGGATATCTTTCTCGAAAATGTGAGAGAAAAATCTCCCAGTTTAGCATGGGACTGTCAATGGAGAAGTTACACCATATCCTGTACATATATTCATCCAAATGACTATAAATGAGATCCTTTTGAAATATATTTACAGCCCTTATCCTATTTTCCAACCTGCCCCAAAACCCTTCATTAGAATTTGTATGTGTCCTCGTAACGGGATCCAAAAAATCACTTGAATGGTTGTCTCTACGATGAATATATCCCAGAGATGACAGCGAATTGTAGCCTTTCCGTGTGTATAATTGACCCCCGCTTAACAATTCTGGTAACAATAGGTATAAGAGTAGTTGCTTTTCTATCTGCTATCCTTAGGGAGAGAAGCGACCTAGCGAAAAAAGTTCCTACGAAATAATAAAATTATCAGTATACCCTCTAGTGTTAGTAGGCTTCAAACATATAGCACAACGATGAACAAACCCATCAGTTGATTTGGTTTAGCTTTTTAAAGTCATGATACCAACACACAATCAAATTCGGGTGACTCTAAAGAATAGCGGCCCAAACCGAAACGACCTTCGAACAAGAAAGTGACCTTGAGCAAGGAATCAGCTGACTGTATCATTTGGGGAAGTAATGATGGACGCTTTACACCTTATGCGTTGCAAATTCGCTCCAGATCATGTGTTCGATTACTGTTTGGACAACGGATTGATAGCTAAGTCGAAAATTTGGCAGTGCGGAGGAATTATGCAGCTACAGAAATACACAGAGGCCATAGATGGCTTTGTCTATAGATGTATTGAGTGCCGGAGGAGAAAATCGGTTCGAGAAGGTTTGTCGTTATTTTTTAGTTTACAGATCCCTTAGGAACTTTTTTCTCTAGGTCTAAACTACTGTTAACGAAAATCTTAATGATATGTAACTTCTGGGTCCTCAAAAGACCAGTTACAGCTACGGCTTACGAAACAGAAAATTCAGAGGTGTCGGCAGTGCAGTGGTACAATTACTGCAGAGATGTCTCCTCGTGGAAAATGAACAGTCTGACTCAAGTTCTTGGAGGAGTCGGTGTAATCGTACATATTGATGAAACTGTATTGATAAAAAGGAAATATAACCGAGGGAGATTACAATCCAACCAGCAGTGGATATTGGGTATATACGACACAACACTACGAAAAGGGTATATAGAGGCGATTCCAAATCGCAGTGCAGGTGTATTATTGCCTATTATTCAGCGTTTGGTGCTGCCTGGGACGACTATTCACACAGATGAATGGAGTGCTTACCGTCAATTATCCAATCATGGGTATATTCATTATGTCGTCAATCACACGGAGGGTTTCAGGAATCCTGTGGATGGAACGCACACTAATTCCATCGAAAGTTTATGGGATCGTCTGAAAAGACGGATAAGGGCTGTTAATGGATCAAGAAATCCAATGATTTACAGTTATCTAGATGAATTTATGTATAGAAACTGGTTTAATATGACAATGAAGACTCCTATGAGAAACTGGGAGGTTTTTTTGCAACATATACGCGAACGTTATCCTTTGTAACTATTTATTATGAATGCATTACTTTTATATAAACCGTTTTTTACAATTATGCGCCTTTCTTTTTGAGCCTTCTCATTGGTTGAAGTTGTCCCTGTCAAGGTCATTTTTGCGTTGAAAGGTCGTTTCGGTTTGGGCCGCTATTCTTTAGAGTCACCCAAATTCGTTCTTTCCGGAGCAACTGAAATCTAGGAAATACTGGGAAAAACTAACCTCCTCGAATTGCAACAATAGCTTTGTAAGGTCACGCATTAGAAATGAATCAAGCGCTATACAACATTGAACTGCGTCCGTGAACCTCATTGGATAATTCGACACCGTTCGTGAATATCATTGGATAATTCGCTGATTGGTAGTTAGTGGTGTCGAAAGTTTAACTTCGCCAACAAGGATTGTATTCTGTCACCTGGAAGTATATGAAGTGTTCACTTGTAGAATCTACAACCCGTAATCTTCTGATACGCCGTCTAATCATATCACCTGGAACTTAGGTTTTTATCCCCAGGAAGTATTGTTAAAGGAAAGTCCAACATTTTAATTTTACAACATATAGTTGTTTATCGTCGTTTGTGATACTTCTATAATACAACAATCCTTTTCATATCCCCAGGACGTTTCTCCGGAAATAAATAAATAAAAACAAAATTGAGAGGATTATAAATATAAGAAATACAATAACAATGGCAATTGGTACGGTAAGGGTGAAAGAAATGGCTTATTTAGTAGTGCAAAGAAGGTTAGTTAGTTAATGCCTGACACAAGGCATGAACCAGCTGACCTTCTTTGCACTACTAAATAAGCCATTTCTTCCGCCCTTACCGTACCAGTTGCCATTGTTATTATATTTCTTATATTTATAATCCGCTCAATTTTTTGTTTTTATCTGTTTAG